ATGTTTTTGACAAGCTCAGCCGATTTCTCCTAGAAAAACAGACCCATTTTGTCACGAGAAAAATTTACGAATTATTCGCTAAATGCCAGCGAATAGGTGCACGTTATGGTTAAAAGTTTAATTGATACGCATCAAGGAGTGGGAGTCTACAAGTGGTGACATATACACTCGATAGATGTCTCATTTTTATTGTGGTTTGTAACTTTGGTGACATATTGTTATAGTCTCCAACTTTTTGTGGACGGCGTTCTGTAGTTGGATTTCGGCGTCTGTAACAGGGACGACATTTTGAATGTTAATGCCTGGTAAAATATGTTGCTGTCACTGTCACTAGCAAAGACGTCAATAAATCATAACGAGGAAATCATTTTATTACTATTGGATTTTTGTTTTCAGGAATACACTGTTTATTTACACGAATAAAGGTCCAAATTTACATAAAAAGTAAAAAACGCACAGAAGATATGCAGTGGCTGTAAAAATACTTACATTCCAGGGGCGGATCTGAAAATCAAGAGTAGGGGGTCCTAAATCTGAACATTTGAGCCCAGTTTATAAAAAAACAGGCTCAAAATTAAAATAAATCATGCCCAGTAATGCCGAGTTGTTACCTTAATTGCTCAATTTATGTGGTGAAAAGAAGATTTTTTGCCCTATACGTTTTTGGCCCTCACTTTTTGGAGCCCTCCAAAGGGGGAGGGGCGGGCCCCTGTCCTCCGCCAGATCGGCCATTGCGTTTTACCTTATGAAATGTATGATACAACACGCATATTCAAAAATTGGGTCCTCCGCCCTTGTAATTTTTCTTAAATCAATGATAGTACGTTTTACATACCGACCAGAGGTAGTCATCTATAGCTTATCATTTATAAAAACATGGGTGATTTCCAAATTAATTTCAGGAGCCATCTTTTGAATATACGTGGAATCCATCGACAAATGATTAAAAAACTAACGCGGACATCTATCGACTGTATTCGAAAAAATAAGTAAACCCAGAATACTTGGGTCAGGTCAGAATACTTCGGCAAGAATCAGAATAGATGGGTAGACAAGAATACTTGGGCCTTCACATACGCTCCCTTCCATAGCTTTGGCAAACACAATTTTGATGACTTACTTATCGAAGCCTGTTTATATTTGGCGAGTAGATAGTTCACATTTTGGACACTGGGTGTCATCAGTGTCAAGTCATCTGCGTAGGCAGCAGCAGAGACATCTATATGTCCTATTGTAAGGCCCTTTTTAACCCCGTGACATCACGGGCGAGCGAGCCCCCCCCAAATATCTCCTAAAATAATGTGGACCTACCTTTTTGCTTTCCTGAATTTTCTGACATTTCAAGGTAGAAAGTAACGTTTTGTGAGATATTTACGGTGTGTTTTGATGTGATTGCCACTTTAATTTCTTTTTATAAAATTCTAAAATTGACTAGAATAGCGAGGCAACTAAATGATTCTGAAATTAATCATATATTTTGATCCTTTAATCGCTCAGAAGGTGCCAAATAAGCCTAAATATTCAATTTTTATTTAAATACATAAATTATATAGTTTGATCCTCGAATTGCTCAGAACGAACTAAATCAGCCCAAAAATTTTAACTTTTTCAGGGGAGCAAGCCCCTGATTTTTTAATAAATCATATATTTTGATCCTAGAATTGCTCAGAACGTGTCAAACAAGCCTAAAATTTCGATTTTTTAAAATACGTAAATCATATATTTTGATCCTAGAATCGCTCAGAATGCACCAGAATTGCCCAAAATGCGCCAAAAAAGCCTAAAAATTCATATTTTTTGAAATACGTAAATCATATATTTTGATCCAAGAATCTCTCGTAAGGTGCCAAATAAGCCTAAATATTCAATTTTGATTTAAATTCATAAATCATGTATTTTAATCCTCGAAGTGCCCAGAACGCACTAAATCAGCCCAAAAATCTTAACTTTTTCAGGGGAGCATGCCCCTGATTTTTTAATAAATCATATATTTTGATCCTAGAATCGCTCAGAACGTGTCAAATAAGCCAAAAATTTCGATTTTTTAAAATACGTAAATCATATTATTTTGATCCTAGAATCGCTCAGAATGAACCAGAATTGCCCAGAATGCGCCAAGTAAGCCTAAAAATTCATTTTTTTGAAATACGTAAATCATATATTTTGATCCAAGAATCGCACAGAAGGTGCCAAATAAGCCTAAATATTCAATTTTTATTTAATACGTAAATTATGTATTTGAATCCTCGAATTGCCCAGAACGCACTAAATCAGCCCAAAAATCTTAACTTTTTCAGGGAAGCATGCCCCTGATTTTTTAATAAATGATATATTTCGATCCTAGAATCGCTCAGAACGTGTCAAATAAGCCAAAAATTTCGATTTTTTAAAATACGTAAATCATATATTTTGCTCCTAGAATCGCTCAGAATGCACCAGAATTGCCCCGAATGCGCCAAATAAGCCTAAAAATTCAATTTTTTGAAATACGTAAATCATATATTTTGATCCAAGAATCGCTCAGAAGGTGCCATATAAGCCTAAATATTCAATTTTTATTTAAATACATAAATCATGTATTTTAATCCTCGAATTGCCCAGAACGAACTAAATCAGCCCAAAAATCTTAACTTTTTCAGGGGAGCATGCCCCTGATTTTTAATAAATCATATATTTTGATCCTAGAATCGCTCAGAACGTGTAAAATGAGCCTAAAAATTCGAATTTTTAAAATACGTAAATCATATATTTTGATCCTAGAATCGCTCAGAATGCACCAGAATTGCCAAGAATGCGCCAAATAAACCTGAAATTTCATTTTTTTTGAAATACGTAAATCATATAATATTTTGATCCAAGAATCGCTCAGAACGCACTAAATCAGCCCAAAACTCCTAAATTTTCCGGGGGAGCATGCCCTCTGGCTACATCACTCACAAGCTATTATTTTACAGGCCACGATAATTTGGCTCGAATTTTGTTCCGTCTAAATCAACTAACTAGTCATTTTAACAACATTAGGGAATTACTGGGCATTTTCAAAATTTGGGCCCTTATCTCTTCTGTGCAAGCGAAGAAATTTTTGGGTCCCTCTCTTGTTTTCGTGGCCACCCCTGGTGTCTTGTTAATAACACCCTTGTGGTCACAATGCGAAGTTGGTTAAGCATGAAAACATTTTTGTGTGTGGCTACGGGCATGAATACCACAGTGATATAACTTGTATAGGAACCCATCGATCCATATAGTATTGAAAGGTTTACGGATGTCTAATAGACAACACAGGACAGTCCTCCCTTTGTCAATATTGTGAGCGATTGTCTCTTGTACCAGGAAAGAGCTGTGTAGCCATGAGCACTTCTCTACTGAGGCCCCCTGCAATTGTGGTATATGTTTCAGCAGGGCGTCTTTGCCACGCATTAACAACACGTTATCGAGCAATTTCCTCAGAATTGTCATAAGGATAATATCCCTATAGTTATCTCTTTCTATGGGGTTCTTATCCCCTCCCTTAAATAGGGGCACTATGAGTAAATGTACATAAGTTAACAAATTGCACGTACATGTATGTGTCCACTTTTCTTTGCTAAGTTTTGACTAATGTTCTTTGGTGTTTTTCTGACATGTTGTTTTCGAAAAATGCATGGCTCAAACTTCATATATAAGAGGCCACATACACTTGAATTATACGGTCCCTCAGGTAGATATGCATATCTCCCTCCGGATAAACCCCATATCCAAAACCTCCCAGTACATAAGCCTTATTTATTTTTGGGCTTATGTGATGATGATGATTGGATATTTACACAAAGTATTGTACAGGAGCTTTTACGCTAATATAAATGTAGCTTAAATCTTAAAATAAACTTTGTACGCATTATGTAGACTCAAGATATCAAACTGAGGGACAATGAACCTACATGTATAAAAGCAAGCAAGAAATGCAACATGTGTGTACATTGTAAATATCTACTTTATGAAAGAATAACACGAGTTAAAAGGCAGCAATTTAACACTTCTAGATATAGTAAAGAGAGGAACTCAACTAAAAGTGGTAATTAATAAAGAAGTAATAACTTTAGATTAACAATCAAGTAGCCAAATAATGGAGGGTAGATCCTTTGGTACATAGAGCGAGGTACAACAGTGTAATACAACATCATTACGTCAACATAGGGCATATGGAAAGCAACTTTCACGCAATGACATATATGGAAACCAACTTTTAGACATTAACACATATGAAAGCCAGCACCATTGAGAAAACATTATAAACTATACATACTGGAGAAAAGGAATACAAATTTGATGTTTGTTCTAGAATTTTTGTTCAAATGGTAATTTTAAAACGCATCATAAAATACATACCGGAATAGGTGATATTTGTTCAAAAACGTTCGCCGAAAACTTGAAAAAGGTATTCTTGAAAAGCATTGTAAATTACATACCGAAATAAGTGACTTCAAATGTGATGTTTGCTTTAAAACATTTGCTCAAAAGGGTGATCTCAAAAAACATCATATAATAATAATAATATACCGGAGTAAAGGACTTTAATGTTCTAAAATCTTTGCTGTAAAGGGTGATCTTAAGATGGATTGCAAAACACACACTGGAGTCAAAGACTTCAAATGTGATGTTTGTTTTAAAACATTTTCATCTCGTCAAAGTCTCAAACAGCATTACAAATTACATACTGGAGAAAGGGACTATAAATGTGATGTTTGCTCTAAAACATTTGTTAGAATGGATTACCTCAAAATACATAACAAGGTACATACCGAGGAAAAAGACTATAAATGTGATGTTTGTTCTAAAACATACGCCTTGAGTAGTAGACTTAAACGGCATCAGAAAAGTCATACTGGAGAAAAGAATTATAAATGTGATGTATGTTCGAAGATGTTTTCAGAGAAAGCAGGTCTACAACGTCATCTTGAAATACACATTGAAGAAAAACATTACAAATGTGATATATGTTCCAAAACGTTTGGAAGCAATTCATTATTGAAGTTGCATCTGAAAAGACACGCTGGAGAAAACCCCCACAAATGTGATGTTTGTTCAAAGGCATTTGAAAATACTTCCAACCTCAAAGCACATTATACAACGCATACAGGAGAAAAAAAGTATGAATGTGATGTATGTTTCAAAGCTTTTGCCCGCAACGGTGATCTTAAACGGCATTACAATATACATACTGGAGAAAATGAATACAAATGCGATATATGTTTCAAAATATTTACACAGAAATCAAATCTTCAACACCATCATAAGATCCATACTGGAGCAGATCGATACAAATGTGATATTTGTTCTAAAACATTTTCGGCCAAAGGGACTCTGACAAGACATTACCAAACCCATACCGGAGAAAAGAAAAACAAATGTGATGTATGTTCCAAATCATTTTTATTGAAATCTAATCTCAAACGACATTCTGAAATACATAGTGCTTCGCGTATAAAGGAATACATGTGTGATATTTGTCACAAATCATTTCTATCCAGTTGCTCTCTAAAAGCACATTATAATATCCACACCAGAGAAAAGGACTATAAATGCGACAATTGTTCTAAATCATTTGCATATTGTTCAAGTCTCAAAATACATCAGAAAATACATACAGGAGAAAAAAACTACAAATGTGATATTTGTCCTAAAACATTTGCACAAAATGGAGATCTCAAACAGCATATTAAAAGACACATTGGAGAAAAGGAATACAGATGTGATTCTTGTTCTAAAGCATTTGTAAATAATGCTGAATTAAAACAACATTATAAAATACATACCAGAACGAAAATCAAATGTGACATTTGTTTAAAAACATACATTCATATTTCATATTTCGAAAAACATTATAAGAAACATACAGGTGAAAATGACTCATCATCTCAACCTGTAATATATTGACTTTGAAAGATGTATTGTACTGTAATACAATAACAATGAAATATGTATTGTACTGCAATACAATTACTATGAAATATGTATTGTACTGTAATACAATTACATATAATATGTATTGTGCTGTAATACAATTACTATGAAATATGAATTGTGCTGTAATACAATTACTATGAAACATGTATTGTACTGCAATACAATTACTTTGAAATATGTATTGTACTGCAATACAATTACTTTGAAATATGTATTGTACTGTAATGCAATTATAAAATATGTATTTTACTGTAATACACTGACTTTGAAATATGTATTGTACTGTAATACATTGACTTTGAAATATGTATTGTACTGTAATGCATTGACTTTGAAATATGTATTGTACTGTAATGCAATTATGAAATATGTATTGTACTGTAATACAATTACTATAAAATATGTATTGTACTGTGATACAATTATGAAATATGTATTGTACTGTAATACAATTACCATAAAATATGTATTGTGATGTAATGCAATTATGAAATATGTATTGTACTGTAATACAATTATGAAATATGTATTGTACTGTAATACAATTACTATAAAACATGCATTGTACTGTAATACAATTATGAAATATGTATTGTACTGTAATACAATTACTATAAAATATGTATTGTACTGTAATGCAATTATGAAATTGTATTGTACTGTAATGCATTGACTTTAAAATAAGTATTGCACTGTAATACAATTATGAAATATGTATTGTACTGTAATGCATTGACTTTGAAATAAGTATTGCACTGTAATACAATTATGAAATATGTATTGTACTGTAATGCATTGACTTTGAAATATGTATTGTACTGTAATATATTGACTTTGAAATATGTATTGTACTGTAATGCAATTATGAAATATGTATTGTACTGTAATGCATTGACTTTGAAATAAGTATTGCACTGTAATACAATTATGAAATATGTATTGTACTGTAATGCATTGACTTTGAAATATGTATATCGTACTGTTAATAGGTAGCTTCATTTTCAAAGCTTTGAAAATAAACTAATTAAAGTCAATGTTATAGTTTTTTCTTTTCATGCATTGTGATTGAACAAAATAAGTCAATTGACATTAACAACCTTATTAAAATGGTTGTTTGTTTTCTTTTAATGAACCACTAATTGAAATGTTTTTGCCCGAACAATGAACCGGTGAAACAATATCTTATATAAACAACAAACAAACAAATAAACAAATTAACAGTTTCTTTAAGCAACGAATTAACAGTTTCTTTAAGCAAACATTGGCTTTGAAAACTACAGAAACTTTATGGAATTTCGTTTGTTACTAAGATTTTTACCAACATCATAAGATCCATACTGGAGCAGAACGCGACAAATGTGATATTTGTTCTAAAACATTTTCACTGAAGGGAACCTTGACAAGACATCACGAAACACATACTGGAGAAAAGAAATACAAATGTGATATTTGTTCTAAATCATTTTTATTGAAATCAAATTTTGAAAGACACTATGAAATACATTCTGCATTGCGGAAAAAAAACTACAAATGTGATATTTGTTTTAAAGCATTTGCACAAAAAGCAGACCTCAAAAAGCATTTTAAAAGACACACTGGAGAAAAGGAATACAAATGTAATATTTGTTTAAAAGCATTTGCAGAAAAAGGAAATCTTAAAGTACATCTTAAAAGACACACTCGAGAAAAGTAATACAAATGTAATATTTGTTTAAAAGCATTTGCAGAAAAAGGAAATCTTAAAGTACATCTTAAAAGACACACTGGAGAAAAGTAATACAAATGTGATGTTCGTTTAAAACATTTGCAGAATAAGAAATCTTAACGTACATCTTAAAAGACACACTGGAGAAAAGGAATACAAATATATAATTTGTTTAAAAGCATTTGCAGAAAAAGGAAATCTTAAAGTACATCTTAAAAGACACACTGGAGAAAAGTAATACAAATATATAATTTGTTTAAAAACATTTGCAGAAAAGGAAATCTTAAGGTGCATCTTAAAAGACACACTGGAGAAAAGGGATACAATTATATAATTTGTTTAAAAACATTTGCAGAAAAGGAAATCTTAAGGTGCATCTTAAAAGACACACTGGAGAAAAGGGATACAAATGTTTTTGCTTTTTCTGTTCTAAATCATTTGTAAGAGGTGCTGAATTAAAAATACATTATTAAATACATACGAATATTTCGCAAGGAACATACATGCATATTTCACGTCTTGAGAAACATCATAAAACATACAGGTGAAATGGAATCATCGTGTACATTGAGTTTGAAATATTGTAGTGTTAAATGAAAAGCTCCATATCAAGGGCTCCCAAAATGAGTTCCCAAACTCACAAACACATAATCCCCGAGCATTGAAGCAACCAAGTGATGAATCTGTTGATAATTACAAATTGCACATTTCAACTCTGTTGGGAGCCTATAAAAAGGCCTCCAAATGAAAAATGGTAATATTCTCCACAAAAATCATCAATAGTATTGCCTATAACTGATACTCTGATGTAAACGTTTCAAGGTCAAACGTAGATCAGAAGATATCAATATTGGATATGGTGAACCGTTGTAATTTGTATGATTTTGACAATATGGCCAAAGCCAATGGCAAGGGCGTAGTCAGGGTCTAGAATTGTAAATGAGGCAAATCAAATATCATTCTCCTCGTCTGCCCTATGCCTGGCTACGCTCATGTTACGCTATGGACTTTGAGGCATATTATTTTACCCAAGGGTAGATGTCACAGTGGATTAACACACTTCTCACTCGGTGCGAGCGTAAAATACAGACCTTCTCGGGCAGAATATTTTCTGTACTTCACTCGAATCATTGAATAACTTATAGACTATGCAATGATACATAAAAGCTGAGGCATCTTAGTAGATATGATGTTTATGAGGGTCAATGTTTCTGTACCACCCTGTATATGCAATGATACATAAACGCTGAGGCATCTGTGTAGATGTGATGTTTATGAGGGTCAATGTTTCTGTATCACCCTGTATATGCAATGATACATAAAAGCTGAGGCATCTGTGTTGATGTGATGTTTATGAGGGTCAATGTTTCTGTATCGCCCTGTATATGCAATGATACATAAAAGCTGGGGCATCTGTGTAGATGTGATGTTTATGAGGGTCAGTGTATCCGTATCACCCTGTATATGCAATGATACATAAAAGCTGAGGCATCTGTGTTGATGTGATGTTTATGAGTGTTAATATTTCTGTACCACCCTGTATATGCAATGATACATAAAAGCCGAGGCATCTGTGTAGATGTGATGTTTATGAGGGTCAATGTTTCTGTATCACCCTGTATATGCAATGATACATAAAAGCTGAGGCATCTGTGTTGATGTGATGTTTATGAGGGTCAATGTTTCTGTATCGCCCTGTATATGCAATGATACATAAAAGCTGAGGCATCTGTGTTGATGTGATGTTTATGAGTGTTAATGTTTCTGTACCACCCTGTATATGCAATGATACATAAAAGCTGAGGCATCTGTGTAGATGTGATGTTTATGAGGGTCAGTGTATCCGTATCACCCTGTATATGCAATGATACATAAAAGCTGAGGCATCTGTGTAGATGTGATGTTTATGAGTGTTAATGTTTCTGTACCACCCTGTATATGCAATGATACATAAAAGCTGAGGCATCTGTGTAGATGTGATGTTTATGAGGGTCAATGTTTCTGGATCACCCTGTATATGCAATGATACATAAAAGTTGAGGCATCTGTGTAGATATGATGTTTATGGGGTCAATGTTTCTGTATCATCCTGTATATTTACAGGGTGGGCCAAAAAAAATTGGAACATTTTTCTTTTTATTCAATTTTCTTTACTATTGCAGTTCAGTTCACAAAAAATCATATAATGGTAAAATGATTATTTGTGAAAATGTTAAAGATACAATTATGTGTGTATGATTACTTTTGGCTTGTCATGGTCATGATCTGTATACTGTGTGCGTCATGAAAAATTTCCAAGTATTTCTCTGCTTGAGACATCATTGCTCAAAATACAGTATCTGATATCATACAATATATGCCCTTCAAATGGTCTCAACACAATTGCAATTAAAACATATGTAGCTATCTCTAGAAGATGCTAGACATGTCTTCCTTGGATAATATAGCTTAACTGACCTCAGCTTTTATCAAAACTGGCACAAGATGTCTCAAACATATCATTTAAGCCATGCGTGACTGTCAAATACAGCTCAGACTGATTGTTCAGGTGGGTGGAGGACATGTTCAGTAATTAAATGTTGAGCTTGTATATTCATATTTGTACAAGCTGTTGACAATGAATTGTTTTTGAATTTCCTAAAGTATTGAAGATAATACAAGACCAACAAAAAAGTTACAATTGATGGAAAAATGTTCCAATTTTTTTACTCGAGGCAAGGGGTTCCTGAACATGCCCTTCGCCCACCTGAACAATCAGTCTTAGCTGTATTTGACAGTCATACATGGCTTAAATCACAGGTTTTGAGACATACAGGGTGTCCAATAAATAAGGTGAAAGATATTGTAACTTTCTTAATATTGCACCAACCTTGATGAAATTTTCAGAGTTTGTAGCCCAAACCTTTTTACCTTTATCCTGTGAATTTAAAGCGTCTTCTATTTGATTGGCCAGAGTTGTTGTTGCTATAGCAACCGAAACAACAAAAAGGTGGGGCAAGTTTGTTTACGTCACAACTTTCCAAAACATATTTCTTCTTTCTGATGGCTTTATTCATACTTCCAGGTCTATTACTACCATAAATACAATATAAAAACAGTCCGAAAGTCCAATTGCTATGAAAATAAGCTATTCAACATAATGTCCATCTCTAGCTATACACTTCTTATGCCTATACATCTCATAGGAAAATGGACAATAAAGGTAATATTGTGCCACTATCAATTCCCTTGGATGGTCCGAAAATATCTTGAGTAAAGGATCTGAGTTCATCAGTGCTTCCAAATTTATTTCCTCTCAAATCACGCTTGAGTTCTGCATATAAATATAGTAAAAGTCATTGTATGCAAGGTCTGGGGAATATGGAGGGTGTGCAAGTAGGGGTATCCCCAGTGCCCTAATAGTTTCACAAGTGAGCATAGCTGTGTGTGACTGTGAACTCAGATCACATGTCTGAGCAAGACTTCAGGAAATGGGCAAGAATGGGTTTGAAAGTGTGTTTAGAGACTGGGTGAAAAGGCATAAGAAGTGTGTAGCTAGAGATGGACATTATGTTGAATAGCTTATTTCCATAACAATGGGACTTTAGGACTGTTTTTATATTGCATTTGTGGTAGTAATAGACCTGGGAGTATGAATAAAGCTATCAGAAAGAATAAATATGTTTTGGAAAGTTGTGACGTAAACAAACTTGCCCCGCCTTTTTGTTGTTTCAGTTGCTATAGCAACCACAACTCTGGCCAATCAAATAGAAGACACTTTAAATTCACAGAATAAAGGTAAAAAGGTTTGGGCTACAAACTCCGATATTTTCATCAAAATTGGTGCAATATTAAGAAAGTTACAATATCTTTCACCTTATTTATTGGACACCCTGTATTGTGCCAATTTAAAAAAAGCTGAGGTCAGTTAAGCTATATTATCCAAGGGAAACATGTCTTGCTTCCCCTAGAGATAACAACATATGTTTTAATTGATGGAAATTATGTTGAGACCATCTGAAGGGTGCATATTGTATGGTATGAAAGATACTGTATTTTCATCAGTGATGTCTTAAGCAGAGAAAATTTGGAAATTTTTCATGACACATGCAGAATACAGATCAAGCCAAAAATAATCATACATTCATATTTTTATCTTGAACATTTTCACAAATAATCATTTAACCATAATCTGAATTTTCATGGGATTGAACTGCAAAAATAAAGACAACTGAATGAAAAGAAAAATGTTCCAATTTTTATTGGCCCACCCTGTAATTATTTAACAACACCAGAAAACCAAATCGAGGCAGATGCATTATGCGTCAATTGAACCTAAAAATAAGCAATAGAAGGACCAAAGTATAATATTATCAGAAAAGTACATTTATATTTTAGATATTAACCTTTTGCATTTTTCAAATAATTTAGTTTATGTGCAGTAAACTTGTGGAATTCCATCCATGCTATTTTAAAAAAAATAACATATCAGAAAAACATTAAAATACAAGGAGCCATACATTTGTTAGCCAAGTCACAAGCAATCAAAAATACAGAGGTATCATCTAAAATATGTACTTTTCTACATAATAATTAAAAGGTCATTTTGCTAATTTTTAAGGTTTTATTGACACAGTGTCTAGTTGTACATGTTGTATCACATCAAAGAAAAATGAACACATAAATGCAAGGTTATCTCATGTTCTTAGGAGTACACTCCTCTCCATAAGTTTGGCGTTCCTAACACCCCCATTGGATTACGTGCTAAAGCCTATTTATGTTTGAATTGTTAGTTGCATAGTCTTTATGGAGAAAAGACTGTTTAGGGCTCGAAATATAAATTGACATCATTTCATATACTTTCAATTTTTCTCGATTTTTTTCAACAATAACAATAGGTCCGTCGGATATTGATGACAAATCTGATGAAGTTTTGAGAAAATCGACATTCCCATGTTAACCAAACTGATAGGTTTTTCGCAAGGCATTTGAAAGAATATCCATCTATCCGAGTTCTCGCAAAAATACAAGTTAGGTAGAAAATTGAATTAGCAAACTTTGCAAAATGATGCGTTTCTTTACGTTCAACAAAGTTACAGGTCTCCAAAGTAAAAATTATTTTTCAAGAAACCTCTCCTATTGAAATAACATGGAAGGCGAAAATGATTTTCAAAAATGACTCTCGAAGCTCTGTAACTTTTTCATGTTCAACACATTAGCGTGCAAAAAGTTAGATAATTCAATTTTCTACATAAAAATACATTTTGATGAAGCATTTGCTGAATAGATATCCAGAAATCTGATTTGGCCTGAACCCACCATTTCCTGTTGGTTTACATACATGGGAATGACAATTTCCAAAAATTCATTAAATTTATCATCAATTTTCAACCTAACATTATACAGTTATGTGTATATTTAAACAATATTTTTAATTATGTTACAATCTTTGAACAATTCTGTCCGGGCTACTATATATTAATAAGGGGGGGGGGGGGGGTCGAATTGACATTACGGTTAAATATTTAATTTCCTGCCGCAGTATCTCAAAATCTGCTTGGAACTATACCATGAAATTCCTCCAAAAATATTCTAGGAGAATGTGTTCAGTTTACACAATTTGAGAAATGTAAGTAATATGTAAGTCATTTGATGCCATAATACACAGACGAATTAGTAGAGGTACATGTATACAAGAGCTAAATGTGGTGAGGCAACCATTGATTTATCAATTTTCAGGAAAACGGAATACTTCATGCTTTCATACTTCATTTGTTTAACAAGAAACCATAAGTTATTTCATGGAACTGGGCTCAGATGATCATAAAAATACAAAAAATACATAAAATGTGTATTATGAATTTGACACAAGGAAAGGTACGATACTGTATGGTTAAATGGGCTGTTCCAGGCTCTACAGTCATGTTGGCATAAAGGAAAATATTGAAGAATTTCAAGAAAATTATACTCATCATGTCATGATGTCGTTCAAATTAATGGTAAATTTTCAGAAAAAACCCCCAGGAATGTGTTTTTGCCTTGTCTTATTTTTGACATTGTGTGATAACAAATGGTGGACAATTTCAAGACCTAAATATAAATACTGAAAAATTGCCGATATGAAGCATTGTTTCCAGTAATCAATCACTCTGTTACTTTGGGAATAGTGTTTTATAATAGAAAACAAGATAATTGGTAAGGAAACTGCTGACATAGTTCTGATTTTCATCTTCAATTTATCAAGGTATCCCACTAAAAAATGGTGGACAAGAGGAAAAAATTTCAAGACCCAGATATAAATCCTGAAAACGCAGATATAAAACATTGTTTCCAGTAATCAATCTTTTATTGGTAAAAGTGTTTTGTCAAATAAAACAAGAGAATAGGTAAGGAAAATGCTGATATAAGCCTTGATTTTCATCTTCAATTCATGAAGGTATCCAACATCCAACTACACAATTCGAAATATATATAAGCAAGTGGGGGAATATGAGCAAGTGGGAGAAGAAAGTCCTTCTTCACCATCTATGGAGTGAGATGTGAAGAGTATTTGACATCCATTGGTGTTATATACATTATTCTGGGCAGTTGCAGTCCCAAAATGTTCCATGCATTGAGGTTTTTGTATTTTAAAAGAACCTGGGAAGGCGTATCGTTTTAATTACTCCACTGTTAAAAGGAAAGCAACATGCATGCCAGTAGCCAGATTTTCGTACAACCCCCCTCGGGCCTGACAAGTACAAATGTAGGATTGACTTGATCAATATATTCAATGATTCCTTATCATCTCATATATATCAAAATTTCCTAAAATAGCCACAATATCTTATAAAAACGTGGAATAGTACGCACGTTTTCTTAGTTTATAAATCACCCTATGCAGACAGAGCCTGTGGGAAATATTGGGTGCGGCGCAAATGAGCGGAGGGTGCGGAGCTAACGGTCATTTTTGAATTTAAAATTGGGATATTTCTGAAACTAAGCCGTTTTGGGACTTCAAATATACCAAGATATGTGTATTTGACACCAAATATCAATAAAATTGTGAAAATAGTAGTGCAATTCATTTTGTAGCGACGCAGTATGCCTTAAACCTTTCCCAGACCTATATATTTTGAGACTATCCTTTTAATACTGCGTCCCCAGCATTCATAAAAAATGGTGTTCAAGATACACTACCCATGCAAATTATTTTTGCATCTTGGAAGCCAGGCAGTATCTGTGTGATTTTATAAAAATTCGGAAATGTTCTTCAGATATGAGCCCCTCTAAATATTGGGTGCGGAGCTACGTTTATGGAGCTGCTCCGCACCCAATATTTAGAGGGGGCTCATATCTGAAGAACATTTCCGATTTTTTATAAAATCACACAGATACTGCCTGGCTTCCAAGATGCAAAAATAATTTGTATAGATAGTGCACCTTGAACACCATTTTTATGAATGCTGGGGACTCAGTATTAAAAGGATAATTTCAAAATATATAGGTCTGGGAAAGGTTTAAGGCACACTGCGTCGCTATAGAATGAATTGCGCTACTATTTTCACAATTGTATTGATATTTGGTGTCAAATACACATATCTTGGTATATTTGAAGTCCCAAAACGGCTTAGTTTCAGAAATATCCCAAATTTAAATTCAAAAATGACCGTTAGCTCCGTACCCTCCGCTCATTTGCTCCGCACCCAATATTTCCCACAGGCTCTGTCTGCATAGGGTGTAAATGTAAAAACATACAGTGCGAGGCAGATGGATAGTGTTTCGATCAACCATTGATAAGCAAGCAAAGGATCAAGCCAGGCATAATATTTTATGGAAACGTGATATGTTATCTCATGACAGGTACATATATGAGTACATGTTTATCTCAGGGTTTATATAATTTGATATTTGCATTGCACTTATCTAAAAGTTACGACTTAACAATTAGTGAAGTCCTAAAAGGAACAAACTTAGTATGTTTATTGGCTAATTCAAATCGGATGCGGTAAAAAACCGAAAGCCAATTTTCGAACGTTCCTGGTATTACGTTCGCCCTTGAGTATACGTGGCAGCACATATGCATAAATATAAGTGAACGTAGCAATTCAGAGCCATGTGAGACCGAAGCAAAAGTTGAATGACAGAACTGTATTACCAATAGTTACTTAAACTTAGAAAAAAGTTATAGCTTTGTAAATCAACAAGTTAAAGTTAAGTAGTGGGTGGATGATATATCAGCACAATATGTACAGAGGAAAAACAGTAAAACGTATGACATCAACTTAGGAAGTCAACTTTTAGACATTAGCACATGAGATTGAAAATGGATACTGGAGAAAAATACTTCAAATGTGACATTTGTTCAAAAACATTTCCAAGAAAAAGTGCTCTGAAAATGCATTGTAAATTACACACTGGAGTAAAGGACTTCAAATGTGATGTTTGTTCTAAAACATTTGCAAGAAAGGATCAACTCAAAATACATGTAAAGGTACATGCTGAAGAAAAAGACTATAAATGTGAGGTTTGTTTTAAAACATTTGCCTTGAGTTTTAGGCTTAAGCGACATTACAAAAGCCATACTGGAGAAAAAAATTATAAATGTGATATGTGTGCGATGATGTTTTCAGAGAAAGTAGGTTTAAAAAAACATCTTAAAATACACACAGGAGAAAAAGACTACAAATGTGATATATGTTCCAAAACATTTTCAGAGAATTCATCATTGAAATTACATCTGAAAAGACACGCTGGAGAAAGGAACCACAAATGTGATGTTTGTTCTAAGGCATTTGTAGATTCTTCCAACCTCAAAGCACATTATAAAACACATACTGGAGAAAAAAACTACGAATGTAATGTATGTTTTAAAGCATTTGCGCGAAGTAGAGATCTCAAACAACATTATAACATACATACCAGAGAAAATGAATACAAATGTGATGTTTGTTTTAAAATATTTTCACAAGAAGCAAATCTTCAACAACATCGTAAGATCCATACTGGAGCAGAACGCTACAAGTGTGATATTTGTTCAAAAACATTTTTAGTCAAGGGAACGCTGACAATGCATTATATAATTCATACTGGAGAGAAGAAACACAAATGTGATATTTGTTCTAAATCATTTTTATTGAATTCTCATCTCAAACGACATTATAAAACACATTCTGCTATGCGGAAAAGGGAATACATTTGTAATATTTGTCCCAAATCATATCTGTCCAATTCTAATCTGAAAAGACATTATAATATGCATACCAGAGAAAAGAACTATAAATGCAACATTTGCTTTAATTCTTTCACAAATGGTTCAAATCTCAAAGAACATCAGAAAAGACATACAGGAGAAAAAAACTACAAATGTGATATTTGTTTTAAAACATTTGCACAAAAAAGAGATCTCAAACAGCATCTAAAAAGACACACTGGAGAAAAGGAACACAAATGCGATTCTTGTTCTAAAACATTTGTAACAAATGCTGAATTAAAAAGACATTATGCAATACATACTAGAAAGGAACTCAAATGTGATATTTGTTTAAAAACATACATACATTTATCATATCTTGAGAAACATTATAAAAAACATACAGGTGGAAACAACTAATCTTCTCAATCTGCAATACATTGACTTTGATATGTTATGTACTGGAAGGTTTTGGATACAGGGTTTACCCCTCGGCAAATATGTGTATCTCCCTTGGGATTAACCCTGTATCCAAAACCTCCCAAAAGTAACCCTTTTGTAATGGCTTTAGATATATAAGAGTTATGTACTGGGAGGTTTTGGATATGGGGTTTATCCAGAGGGAGATATGCATATCTACCTGAGGGACCGTAGGTAGATGTGCATATCTCACGAGGGATGAACCCAATATCAAAACCAACCGTACATAACTGCTTTATCCTATACCAAGTAGTTTTCAGTGAAATTACCGGAAGCAGGAAGATATGCACCGAAGCAGGAAGTTATGCACCGAAGCGGGAGATATGGCGGGAGATATGGAGGTTCTGGATATGGAAACCTCAAAATCAGGATACGGGATATATCTTACCAACGTATCTCCCTAAAACTCTACTTGGCATAGGATAAAGATGGATATTTATCCATCCTTTGGAGTTTGATATTGAATATACAGAACATGTACCTAGTTTATATTTTCCCCAAGGATAACCTTTTATTCAAAGCCCCCTTTATATAAACTTTGTAGAAAACTTTTCAAAATTGTATATATACTTTATTAACTTTATATAAATTGTAAAAGCACTCTAAACTAAATATACTTTATTATGTGTATATAAAACAATATTTCTAATTATGTTACAATCTTACATATATATTAATAACCTGCCATTAGAATTACCTATAATTTATCTAAAATATATCTATAATAAAGTACTATGTTAAATTGTATATTTATTTTATGAACTTTTTATAAATTGTAAAAGCACTCTAAACTAAATATACTTTATTATGTGTATATAAAACAATATTTCTAATTATGTTACAATCTTACATAGCTGTCATTAGAATTACCTATAATTTATCTAAAAATATATCTATAATAAAGTACTATGTTAAATTGTATATTTATTTTATGAACTTTTTATAAATTGTAAAAGCACTCTAAACTAAATATACTTTATTATATGTGTATATAAAACAATATTTCTAATTATGTTACAATCTTACATAGCTGTCATTAGAATTACCTATAATTTATCTAAAAATATATCTATAATAAAGTACTATGTTAATAAGTGTTTAAAACAAACAATTGTTTTATTTGTTATATAATAATATATAAAAATGTAACTGTAAAAGAAGAAATAACAATCACAGACTTTGGTTGGAATGTAACACTTCAGTAACAAAATATACTTTTCAAAATCCATACCTCATTTGGTAATTATCAAAGAAATTTGGATAGATCCATGGTGTCATCAGATAAATCAGTGTTTATTGTTGGGAACACTGCTACTTACAACAAAATGAGTACTATTTTAGTACTCAGCATATCTCCCTGGGTAAAAACAATGTACAGACAAATCTGTTCAGCGGAACACCTCTATAAGTGGAAAAGCCACTAAAAGAGACCACTATTAACTTTATGTAAAATGAAAGTGGAACACCCATATGGAATTATATTTTCAGGTCAAAGGTGTTCATTGTGTCCTTACTTTTCAAAAGGTTGCCCCCTCATGTCCTGTTTTATCCAATGCTGTCCTGAGGACAGTGTCATTTTGTCAGATAATGGTCATATGATCTTAACATGATTAATTGGCCTTGAATTGTCCAATGATATGATTAGTGTATGGCTAACTTTGACCAGACAGGGATTTTTAACGGAATATTTGATAACATTTATATGTACACTAGTATCTTGTTGACCTATATTCAGCACTGTTTTGATGAATGGGCCACTTATTTAGGGCCAATATTCAATCATAAAGTGTACAGGTGTAGAGATGCCAAAAATCCATTTGCATCCTACACATCCCTACATCTTATCCAAATATGTTATCAACAGTATAATCTTTGGATTTACAAAGTTGTATGGCAATGTCATAAGTATAAAATTTACTTTTGAAGCATTTTTCTATAGCCATTTTGTAGGAAAGAAATGATGAAAAAATGTATAATCTTTTAATTTGAAGTATGACCTGAATTGATCGCAAACTTCATATTTGCACATCTGATGTGATATACCATTTGTGTCATATTGTGAAATTATTTAATTTGCAATCGATTCAGGCCATAGTGTATTTTTTGTATTAATGGCCTCCATTGGAATCTGATGATATCCAAATGTTAAGTCAATGGAGCACATTCAATGTCAAGTCAATACACCCTTGTTGAACTTAATGACCTCAACCTCATCCCATGTGGGTCCAAACGCTTAAATATTTTCCAAAATGTTACGTGACATTGTATTCTTCATGGTATTATTCATTTTGTTCATGGGGAAATCATAATGGAAAGTGCACTACATCCTTTAAAGCAAATTCCTAGGATTAAACAATATTCATCTAGCATCTCGGATATATGGCAAACAAATATAAATGTGTCAAATGGTTAAAAAAATATAATATATCCCATATCTGTGATGATATCCTCCAAGTATGAATTCGTCATGAAAATATTTAGAAAATACCCTCCAAGTATTCAATAAATATTTATAAATATCTATAATTCTCATTTCCTTAATTTCAGAGATTTTATAAGCATTTACCTTATATATTCTATATTTAGAGGATAAATCATTGGCATCATTAGTGCCCTTTTAATCACCAAAGTCATGTATACAGTTTAGCTGACATCATTGTCTGAAGAGTTCAGCTGTCATCGGGAAAATTGACTTCATATCACTGCCTTGTGTTATAACTAACCAGAACAACGGCAACGCCAAAGCGTAGCGAATCCCATCGAAAAGCCATGGATGGCATTTTTACAAACAAAGTATATAGCAAAAATGGCAGCCATTTTTCAAAATGGCCGCCTTCTACCAAAAGTGTCATTAGACCATGTGCCATGCTTATAGTATTCATACACCAAATATGAACAAAATCGCTCCACTACTTTTCAAGTTATAGTAAAAAACGTTAAAATGGGGGCCATTTTTCAAAATGGCCACCTTCTACCAAAAAATGCCATAAGACAGTGTGCCGTGCTTATAGTATTTACATACCAAATATAAACAAAATTGCTCCACTACTTTTCGAGTAATAGTAAAATACGTTAAAATGGGGGCCATTTTGAAAAATGACCTTTTCAAATTTTTTTCAAAATGGCCGCCTTCTTTCAAAAGTGTCATAGGACAGTGTGTCATGCTTATAGTATTCAGATACCAAATATGAACAAAATCGTTCCACTACTTTTCGAGTTATAGTAAAATACGTTAAAATGGTGGCCATTTTGAAAAATGGCCGCCTTCTACCAAAATGTCATTAGACAGTGTGCCATGCCTATAGTATTCACATACCAAATATGAACAAAATCGCTTCACTACTTTTCGAGTTATAGTAAAATGCGTTAAAATGGCGGCCATTTTTCAAAATTTTTTTCAAAATGGCCGCCTTCTACCAAAAGTGTCATAGGACAGTGTGTCATGCTTATAGAATTCACATACCAAATATGAACAAAATCGCTCCACTACTTTTCGAGTTATAGTAAAATACGTTAAAATGGTGGCCATTTTTCAAAATGGCGGCCATTTTTCAAAATAGCCGCATTCTACCAAAAGTGTCTTTAGACAGTGTGCAATGTTTATAGTATTCACATACCAAATATGAACAAAATCGCTCTACTACTTTTCGAGTTACAGCTAAAATCGTAAAATAACGAGTAAAGGCCGCCATTTTTCAAGATGGCTGCCATGTGCTTCTTAAATATCTACATTTCTAGCTTTATTAATGTCCTATATTATTTTTTTACATCTAAAACATATTGCTATTACAGTTTTACATATTGCACCTAAATTACTGTAAATTCGGCACTAAAATGGCCGCCATTTTGAAATGAGCGGCCATTTTGAAAATCGGCTTTCGAGCAGAACTTCTACCCCCATAGGGTATATCATGTGTACAAAATATGAACAAAATCGGGCCAACGGTATTTGAGTTATTGCCCGGACGGACGGACGGACATACGTACGTACGTACGTACGGACGGACGGAGGCGTTCCCTATATCCCTTCGAACTTCGTTCGATGGGATAAATATAGATGACATCTTTGTCAGCTGCATTAAGACACATTCGGACTGTATGATGAGTTATGGCACATTTTCATTGACATCAACTGATTGTATGATGAGTTATGTCACATTTTAGTTGACACCATCAGACTGTATGTTGAGTTATGGCATTTTAATTGACATCATCAGAGTGTATGATGAGTTATGGCACATTTTCGTTGACATCAACTGATTGTATGATGAGTTATGTCACATTTTAGTTGACACCATCAGACTGTATGATGAGTTATGGCACATTTTCGTTGACATCAACTGATTGTATGATGAGTTATGGCATTTTAGTTGACACCATCAGACTGTACGATGAGCTATGGCACATTTTAGTTGACACGATTTCATCAATTGTGATACGTTTTAGCTGACACCATTGTATTGTTAAGTTCACAATGACATATTTATCATTGATTAGTTTAGAACCTAAAGTAATCCTTTCTTTTCTTTGGACTTGGCTGATCATCATCTGAAATCATTTATTTCTATTTTTAATCCATATATTTTATTTTATCAATGCAATATCATGATCTACAACATATTTTATTTTATCTATGTTACATCAGGATTTGTTTGAACATGTAATGAATCGTGATACAACAATACCACATTATTCAACAAAAATAACATTTGCACTGACATTTTGGAAGACATATATTTCTTTATTACGACCATATACATTTTGCATACATACAAGTGCAGTAATTGACTGAGAATAAAAGTTAATGTAGTTGAGTTTTAATATGATTTCCTAATCCAAATATTCCATGCATTCAATATTCTGTTCAGACTATCTTAAAAATTAGCATAAATAAGTCAAATTCTACTCATGTTTATGAAACTAGGGTTTTGCACGATGTGGGAAGACAAAATGATGCAATGAGTGGTATTATTCACCCAGGGGCAAGGTTTGGCATGAGGCAGGTGGGGCAAATACCCCGCCAAAATTTCAAGTTGAAAAAGATATATACAGTATGTGTTTCAGGCCCGTAGCCAGGGGGGGTTCGCAGGGTTCGGACAAACTTCCCCTGGCCAATAATTCTTTCAAAATCATGCAGTTTTTCACCATTTTGAGCACTTCTCAGTGATTTTAGCCATATTTGAGCCAAAATTGTCAAATGTGAACCCCCCCGGGAAATTTTTGAAAACTGAACCCCCCTTGGCAAATCCTGGCTACGGGCCTGTGTTTCTAAATATTAATTATTGTACCACAGTTGGCCACACAGGGTTTAAATTAATTTAGACAGGGTTTACTGATTTCAACTAAGGGGCCTTTACCAGAGCTTGATGATGAGAAGGGGTCTTCAGGCTGTTCTGTCAATGTTCCTCTGTCCTTGTGTTCCATGAAAGCTTGTTCAGCATGCTGCCAAATAAATACATATATTTGAAATTATGGAGAATTTTGCCAACATCTTTTTGTTTACCATATTTATAAATTAAGGATATCAAAAGATCATCTATTTATTTTCTATGATACAAAAACAGCAACTCCACGGAGTAGCAAATCTCACCGAACAAAACATATTATGCTTATTATAGCTAGTGTAAATGTTGAAATGTTTGTGCACTTTGTGATAGAAGCATAAAATTTAGCACAAAGTTAGTTTATAGCATTGTGGACTAGGCATCATCATATAAAATTTGAACCAAATCTGTTCACTGGTATATAAGTTATCAAAGATTACGTTTTTTACGAAAATTGGCCACCATCTTGAAAATTATTTCTTGAACAGAGCTACTGTGTCCCTAGGCATAATAATCATATAAAATTTCAACCAATTCTGTTCACTGGTATTTGAGTTATCAAAGATTACATATTTTTACAAAAAATGGCCACCATTTTGAAATTAAGTGGCCATCTTGAAAATCTCTTTCAGTGCGAAACTCCTTTGTCCCTAGGCATCAGCATATAAAATTTGAACCAAATCCGTCAACTTGTATTTGAGTTATCAATGATTACATTTTTTACGAAAAATGGTGGCCATTTTGAATTGAGCGGCCATATTAAAAATTCCTTCTCGAGCAGAGGTCCTACACTCATAAGGCATAAGCCTATAAAATTTGAACCAAATCCGTCAACCGGTATTGGAGTTATCGCCCGGACATACAGACGAACGAACGGACGGACAGATGGCTTCTCTATATCCCCCTCGAACTTTGTTCGGTGGGATAATTAAGCGGCCATCTTGAAAATCTCTTTTGTGCGAAACTCCTTTGTCCCTAGGCATCAGCATATAAAATTTGAACCAAATCAACTTGTATTTGAGTTATCAACGATTACATTTTTTACGAAAAATGGTGGCCATTTTGAATTGAGCGGCCATATTGAAAATTCCTTCTTGAGCAGAGGTCCTACACTCATAAGGCATAAGCCTATAAAATTTGAACCAAATCTGTCAACCGGTATTGGAGTTATCGCCCGGACACACGGACAAACGGACGGACGGCTTCTCTACAGTGTATCCCCTTCGAACTTCGTTCGGTGGGATAATTAGTGTAGAATTTACATATGTTTTATTTACTATCTTGTAATTCTCTTCTTACTTTTTTTTGTTGAATGTGAAGTCATTGGTTTTCCTTTTTTCTTTACATGGAAGGGGGGGGGGTGTAAAGGATGGGCTGTTCTCTGCTATTATTTCAAAGTCAATCTGCTTGGGGAGATCTTTGAAAAGGAAGGGGCAGATGGGGGGGGGTGAAGGATTGGGTATTCTCTGCTATCATTTCAAACAAAATCTGCATCTGGGGTATTCTCTGCTATCATTTCAACCATAATCTGCTTAGAGAGATATATTATGGGTGGGGGGGGGGGCAGATGGACTGCTTGAGGATGTATATGGAGGGTGTGTGTAAAGGATGGGGTATTCTCTGCTTGCGTTTCAAGCGCAATATGCTTAAAAAAATATAATAAAGGGGGGGGGGACAGATTGACTGCTTGAATGAAAAACATATGGATGGGGGGGGGGGGGGGGGGTACCAATGACTTGATAGAAGACAAATTATGATAACATCATATATTGGATCTTACTCTGAATTTAGCTTTGTACTGTATCCATCCATCTTGTTTTAGCATATCAAGAGAATCTTTGATATGGTCTTGCATATTGTCCCAATCTATGCTGTGGGGTTTCCCTTTGCACATCAGGGCTGTTTCCGTCTGCAGTTGTTTTTTCAGATATTTCAATGACCCTTCGTAATTGTCTAAAATCAATAGTGAGTTTGAACAATAATTTCATGAAAGAAGATGGGTGGATACAGAACATATACTAAAATGTTGATCAAGCAAAATGTCAAACATATTTTGAACGTAATCAAAATTTGATTTCATGGTATGTCCAGGGCATAAAGAGCAAATTTCAACGATAAGCATCCTAGATAAGAAAAACTAGAAACCAGAACAACGGCAACGCCAAAGCATAGCGAATCCCATCGAACAGCCATGGATGGCATTTTTACAAACAAAGTATATAGCAAAAATGGCAGGCATTTTTCAAAATGGCCACCTTCTACCAAAAGTGTCATTAGACCATTTGCCATACTTATAGTATTCACATACCAAATATGAATAAAATCGCTCCACTACTTTTCGAGTTATAGTAAAATACGTTAAAATGGCCGCCTTCTACCAAAAGTGTCATTAGACAGTGTGCCATGCTTACAGTATTCACATACCAAATATGAACAAAATCGCTTCACTACTTTTCGAATTATTATAAAATACATTAAAATGGCGGCCATTTTTCAAAAAAAATTTCAAAATGGCCACCTTATACCAAAAGTGTCTTTAGACAGTGTGCAATGTTTATAGTATTCACATACCAAATATGAACAAAATCGCTCCACTACTTTTCGAGTTACAGCAAAAATCGTAAAATAACGAGTAAAGGCCGCCATTTTTCAAGATGGCTGCCATGTGCTTCTTTAATATCTACATTTCTAGCTTTATTAATGTCCTATATAATATTTCACATCTAAAACATATTGCTATTACAGTTTTACATATTGCACCTAAATTACTGTAAATTTGGTACTAAAATGGCCGCCATTTTGAAATGAGTGGCCATTTTGAAAATCGGCTTTCAAGCAGAACTTCTACCCCCATAGGGTATATGTGTACAAAATATGAACAAAATCGGGCCAACAGTATTTGAGTTATTGCCCAGACGAACGGACAGACAGACGGACGAACGTACCTACGGACGGACGGACGGAGGCGTTCCCTATATCCCTCCGAACTTTGTTCGATGGGATAAAAAGAAAAGGTCAGCTTTGGTCCACCCTGAATGATAAGGGAGTAGAGAATACGGAGGGAGGGGGGGAAGAGGTCAGTAAGAAACTGAGGCTTCCTGCCACATGGAATCATTTATAGGTACACACTTTGCTAATTTTAAGTTAAAATAAACGAACAGCCAAAACATGTTTGGTATTTTACAAGATCATTCAATTAATCAATTCTCCACACCTCCTGCTCATCGAGATAATATACAGGATCTCTCCCAAGTTTTTCACAGCAGTTTTTAATTCTCTCCATCATACTATGGAAGTTTTCTCCAGAATGATTTTTGCCCATGCGTAGAGCTGAACATTCAAGTTTGAATTGTTCATAAAAATGATCTAACGCCTCCTGATATTTTGCTGAAAAAGTAAGACATATACCAGTATGAGCATGAAACTAAGAAAATTCTTTTCCCTGGTACTATTTTTGTGTAAAGCTGCATATTTAAGTTTAAATTCATTAATATTTAGCTGAAATTAACAGACATATTAAATCATGAAGTTGAACAAGTTATAGTAATAGACATATTAAATCATGAAGTTGAACAAGTTATAGTAATAGAAATATTAAATCATGAAGTTGAACAAGTTATAGTAATAGACATATTAAATCATGAAGTTGAACAAGTTATAGTAATAGACATATTAAATCATGAAGTTGAACAAGTAATAGTAATAGACATATTAAATCATGAAGTTGAACAAGTTATAGTAATAGACATATTAAATCATGAAGTTGAACAAGTTATAGTAATAGACATATTAAATCATGAAGTTGAACAAGTTATAGTAATAGACATATTAAATCATGAAGTTGAACAAGTAATAGTAATAGACATATTAAATCATGAAGTTGAACAAGTAAGCGTAATAGACATATTAAATCATGAAGTTGAACAAGTAATAGTAATAGACATATTAAATCATGAAGTTGAACAAGTAAGCGTAATAGACATATTAAATCATGAAGTTGAACAAGTAATAGTAATAGACATATTAAATCATGAAGTTGAACAAGTAAGCGTAATAGACATATTAAATCATGAAGTTGAACAAGTAATAGTAATAGACATATTAAATCATGAAGTTGAACAAGTTATAGTAATAGACATATTAAATCATGAAGTTGAACAAGTAAGCGTAATAGACATATTAAATCATGAAGTTGAACAAGTAATAGTAATAGACATATTAAATCATGAAGTTGAACAAGTTATAGTAATAGACATATTAAATCATGAAGTTGAACAAGTAAGCGTAATAGACATATTAAATCATGAAGTTGAACAAGTAATAGTAATAGACATATTAAATCATTAAGCTGAGAAAAGTCTCTTTTAAGTCTCAGGCATAAAGCCAAGCGAAAAGTAGTATTTCGCTAAATATACGAGATCTAGAACTAGATTGAGCTTAATAATACTTTTCCCTTGCCCTATGGTCCTGGGAATATTAAATATTATAGTTGTAGCAATATAAGTTGCGCATGCATATTTGAATTCTAAATGCTTCTACACGTTTATCTGTAATATTCGTATACAGCACATGTAGTTCACCTGTTATTCATTTGAAACAAAAATCCTTAAACATGTGCTCTAATGTAGCCAGGAGGCCGTTTCTCGAAACTTATCACTATTAACGAATCATTTATAGCAAATCGTAGGTTCATTTCTATGGACACCGCATCGTTAATGGAATAACGAGACCCCCATTTGTACTCGTAAAATCAATCATGGATAACGAATAAATCAATAAAAACCATGACATCATCGCGAATCGTTAACTTTTGAGAAACTGAAAAATCGTTATTAACAATTGAATTAACAATTCGTTAATAACAAAACTTTCAAAAAACGGCCTCCAGGATGAGGATGAGAATGCTTTTTAATATCCTTTGAGAAATATTCCTCTGGCAATGATGAGTTGTAAATCAATTAAATTGTATAACTTTCATAGATTTTCAATCTTAGAACAAGTGATTCGATTGTAAATAATCTCATAATGTAAGGGTTATCACTATTGCCAGGCAAGCAAGGCACATCCTCCGATCACAGGGCTTCAAAATCCAGAATATATTCTTTCTTTTTACCCCCTGCAATAAGCAGTTAGCATTTCCCTGATTAAGAACTCGCATTCTGATTGGCTGTCTCAACACTGCGACAGAAATCATGTACAGGGTGTCAAATAAGTCTGTTCTCCCCCCTTAACTTTTTTAATTCAGAAATAACATAGGGTTGGTATATACCATCTTAAAGGGAATTCAACTTGCTGATCACACACCAAATATCAGAGTGATTGGTTGAATTCCCAATTTTTTAGAGTATTTTTAGTGATGTCCATATTTCACCTTTTTAATAGTCTGTATGTCTCCCCCAGCAGCCCGGATGGCCTCGATTGTACAAGGATATGATCCCGTATAAATGATTCAGAACGTTTAATTTTGGCTGTTATCAACTTTTTTGTGATGAAAGATGCCCCCCTGCTTCAAAAGCTCCCCTGAATGTAACACATTTTACTCTGTAGCGATATTGAGAAACATTGAAATCACCCAATGTTGGCATTGTCACTGCAGTATCAACATTTTAATTTTCATTCACTATACCTGGTAATTTTACTTGTTTCGATGTTATCAAAGGTCAACTACAACCTTACAAGAAACATTGTAGCAATTTTATTAGGAGGAGTTTATGATTGATTTTTTGAGGGTGATCAGCATTTTCTATAAGCTTCAATATGATACAGGTATATGGGAAAGTATGATAAATTTAAAGATAAAAAAGTTAAGGGGGAGAACAGACTTATTTGACACCCTGTATAAGTCATTGCGCATAATTAGATCACGTGATTCAGTTTAATTGGACGCTTCCAAATTGGTTATAGCAGGGGGAAGAAGGAGGTATGGATTCTGGCTTAGGAGGATGGCAAGGCAAAACTTGGAAATATTTTTGCCTAATCGCTTTTTTCTTCCTTGCTACGTCACTGCAAATGTGAATAAACAAGCAATTTTTGCTTGGGAATTAAGACTGGACGTTAAGTTAGAAACCATCATTAAAATACACAAATGCTTACTGATATACATGTATAACAAAATGTCAACACTTCTGGTGGTGACATTACAAATCATATCATTAAGGTAAGCAGAGTAGAGTGAATTAGTTACCATCATATAATATTAATAATGTAGGCAGAGTAGAATGAATTAGTTACCATCATATAATATTAATCATGTAGGCAGAGTAGAGTGAATTAGTTACCATCATATAATATTAATAGTGTAGGCAGAGTAGAATAAATTAGTTACCATCAAATCATATTATTAAGGTAGGCAGAGTAGAATGAATTAGTTACCATCAAATCATATTATTAAGGAGGGCAGAGTAGAATGAATTAGTTACCATCAAATCATATTATTAAGGTAGGCAGAGTAGAATGAATTAGTTACCATCATATCATATTATTAAGGTGGGCAGAGTAGAATGAATTAGTTACCATCAAATCATATAATCAAGATAGGCAGACTAGAATGAATTAGTTACCATCAAATCAGATTATTAAGGTAAGCAGAGTAGAATGAATTAGTTACCATCAAATCATATTATTAAGGTAAGCAGAGTAGAATGAATTAGTTACCATCAAATCATATTATTAAGGTAAGCAGAGTAGAATGAATTAGTTACCATCAAATCATATTATTAAGGTAAGCAGAGTAGAATGAATTAGTTACCATCAAATCATATTATTAAGGTAAGCAGAGTAGAATGAATTAGTTACCATCAAATCATATTATTAAGGAGGGCAGAGTAGAATGAATTAGTTAGGTAGGCAAAGTAGAATAAATGTGTTACTATCAAATTATATCATTAAGGTGGGCAGAGTAGAATGAATTAGTTACCATCAAATCATATTATTAAGGTAGGCAGAGTAGAATGAATTAGTAACCATCAAATCATATTATTAAGGTAGGCAGAGTAGAATGAATTAGTTACCATCAAATCATATTATTAAGGTAGGCAGAGTAGAATGAATTAGTTACCGTCAAATCATATTATTAAGGAGGGCAGAGTAGAATGAATTAGTTAGGTAGGCAAAGTAGAATAAATGTGTTACTATCAAATTATATCATTAAGGTGGGCAGAGTAGAATGAATTAGTTACCATTAAATCATATTATTAAGGTAGGCAGATTAGAATGAATTAGTTACCATCAAATCATATTATTAAGGTAGGCAGAGTAGAATGAATTAGTTAAAATCAAATCATATTATTAAGGTAGGCAGAGTAGAATGAATTAGTTACCATCAAAACATATTACATGTATTAAGGTAAGCAGAGTAGATTGAGTTTGTTACCCTGATTGAATAATATGAGGCCAACTTGGTAGTAGCTTCTTGCAGTTTCTGTGCAAATCCCTTTGGCTTTTTTTCTCATCTCAAGTGCCTACAATGAAGATCAGTGAAAATACATTCTCACAGAGCTAGACGTGATACATCGAATTCCAACCAATAAGAGCACAGCACAACGCAATGAATTTTGGATGATTTAATCCACTCATGTCCTGTTTTCGAGACTTTCAATTCGGGCTTTGAATGCGCCTCGTCCAAAATCCAGAAACATGATATATGTGGTTTAAATACGCTGTAGCCTTCATCCAAAATCCAGGAACAAGACATATGTGGTTTAAATTATATGCGATTCATTGAATCCTTTGGCAAAACATGTCTAATCTGAACACCACAAGGCCTACTCACCAAGTGATCAAAATGCAAAAAACTTGATCAGATCTTGGCATTAGTCTGCTATCACCCCCCCTCCCAGGGAAACAGATACATGCATGGCACATGCACACAATAATATAGCACTTTGAAAACATGCAATAAAAATGCTCACCTTTTTTGCAGGCTCAAGGGCATTTTTTAAGCCAGCTTTGCGATCTTTTTGAAAAATTATATAAGCCTGGGTGAAATACAGGTCTGCTTTTTTGGCAAAAGTCATCATTTTCAGACTGTCGTTAATATCAAGAGCTTCCTGTATGTAACGCAGAGCTTCTTCGTAATGGTCCTTCCCTTGCTGGTAGTAGTTAGTAGCTGGAAAACAAGACATTTTCAAATTTTAATTGATGAGAATTAAAAATATCCAGGAATGAACAACAAAAATACGAGGGCTACTTAGGGCTCATAGGGGCCAGATCAAAATTTCTTTTTTGTCCTTAACCATTTCTGATCGACTCCTCCCTCCCTCGAAAGTAATGATCATTTGTTCAAATTCACACCGGAATAGTCTGACAACGGTAAAGTCAGATACCATTGTCATAAATGGTGGACATAACTGTCGCTTCAACTCTTCAACACCTTATTTCACGGGACTTTATGGTTACTAATTCTGTGCATGTATTAAGCTCTTATGATGTGTATCATATGAAATTCCAATTCCGATCAAATTGGGTCGTGAATCGCCACAATATAGTGTCTTCGATACTGTCAATGACAGCGGAATCTAAATTTGAAATAATTTATAAAGACAATGGCATATGGAAATACAGTGTCCGTTGTCCCTCATTTTGATCGGTAAAATTCAAGACTTTATTTCGATGGTAGTACATTATTAATTGTACAATGAGTATAAAGACACTTTCAAAATGGTCTTCCAATAGTATGAATAATCAAAATGAGCCTAATATGCAGACCGATAATTTTGTCATCAATGCTGGTGTACCACAGGGGTCTGTCCTTGGACCCCTGCTATTCCTAATATATATCAACGATCTGCCTGATGAGCTTGTTTCAAAATCGTTCATTTTTGCTGATGACACCTCAATTTATTGTCCATACGAAAAAAATGAAGTGTTTTTCAATATTCACGAGCCAATCCAAAGTGATCTAGACAAGCTTGCTCTCTGGGCTGCCACCTGGAAGATGCAATTCAAAGCTCAAAAAAGTGCAGATATGATTTTTTCTAGAAGGAACATTTTATCTCATCCACCACCTTTGAGATTAGGTGCTGATTTTATTCCTAGCTGTGAGAATCACAAACATCTTGGCCTTAATTTTGACATTCACCTTAACTTTAATTATCACATTGACCAGATAATAAAAAGAGTTACTTCTCTTTTGAGACCGATGATAAAGCTGAGTAAAATTCTAAATAGTCAGCACTTAGAGATATTATATAATACTTACATTATGCCTCATTTTGACTATTGTGATGTCATTTACAACAAGGCATCTAACATGAAATTACAAGCTCTTGAAAGACTTCACTACAGAGCAGCCTGCCTGGTTTCTGGGGCTATACATGGTTCCAATACTATCAAAGTTTTAAACTCTTTAAACTGGAAACAGCTAACAACCAGAAGAATTGAGCACTTAAACATGTTTACTTTTAAATGCAGGTATAACATTAATCCTCCATTTATTTGTGACTTACTTCGGAAATATGAACATATACCGGTCCGCCCCTTAAGACATCAAAGAGATTATGTTCTCCCAACTCGCCTTAGCTTCTCTTTTAAAAAAACTACCATCTTCCAATCTATAACTTTATGGAATAATTTGCCATCAGATACTAGAATGGGTCAACCTATTTCTAGGTTTAAAAGATTAGTAAGAGAACACAAGAGCCCAGTCTCTTTAATTCCAACTTCTAAATTGAATGTGACCTTACCCAGACATATTGAAATACCTTTTAATAGACTCAGGTGTGGCCTTTTACTTAAAGCACACCTTAATGCACATAACTTTAATGACATTAGTGACCCTTTGTGTAAATGTGGTGTTCCATTGACTACCTTGCATTTTCTTTTAAATTGCCCACTGCTCCATGATGAAAGAATCAACCTCATTGCAGGCCTTCATACTTACAATTTAGGAAACCTGTTTAACAGCTACAATTTGAATGATAAATTACAATTTTTACTTTTTGGAAAAGATGATTTAGATGCATCAACAAATGAAGAATTAATTCATATTGTTAGTTATTATATATACACGAGTTTCACTATCATATCACGTCTGTGACAACAGGTCCGTTTCTTCATTTTTCTGCTCTTTCCTTTTTGTCATCATCCCCGCCCATGGGATTTCCTTGATTCAGTGATTTGGAATTAAGAATATATGTAAACCTTTTGTATTTTATATTATATCTATTATTTCATTTATGTTATATTATTTAATTGCCGCTAATGTTGCAAAACTTTGGCAATCAGCTAACTTTGTACATCTATGTTATTATTTGAAATAAATCGATAACATGAAAAAAAAAAAAGTATAAAGACACTTTGATTGTTGTTCCATAGGAATTTAGTCTAGGTGCTCTATTAAACATACAGTTCATGAAAATCAAATTGAAGCGACGGTTATGCCCGCTATTTGTGACAACGGTATCTGCCTTTACTGTTGTCAGGCTATTCTGGTGTGAAATTGAAGTTGCATTCTTAAAGGGAATGCGAAGTTTTGTCCCTTAAACTTGATAATAAGTTAGAATAAAGATATATCTTTCAATCCAAATTAGTTTTATTGTTCTATCATTATCCTTTTAATTGTTATTGAGCCCAGGTTTTGCATATGAACTGGACCACGGAGCTGCCATTTCAACCGTAAAGTGGTTCTTCACGACATTGTTATGACGTCATTGATGCCAGATTGATGCCTTAGCATTCCAAAAGTTTTGTGGCGCCATTTTTGAATCAAAAAATGAATGCCGAGTTGTTGCCATTCCAAAACCAAAGAAATCATTTCAAATGAACTAAAAGAATATATATATACCAGCCATAATAAAGAACGATTTTAATAGAATATTAACGCCGGCATTTTCGGAATTGCTTTTTGCCTATCTAGACATGGAATGCAGGTTAGATTTATTCTTTATTTACACTTGAAACAATCTGGGATTCGTGACTTTTTAACTTTTATTAGGTCTAGCGCGATCAGCGTAGGTCGGCCCTACGACGTGCATAGTTTTTCTTGAAGGCACCCAGAAAGGGTTCTATGGTTCGGAAAGGTCAATTGTAACCTATGAAATCCAAGCGCAGCCGCAAGTCGACCGTGAACCCGACGTACGGTCGTCGTGAGACCTACGGTTTGGCTGCTGCTTATTGATATCTATGGTGACCACAGGAAAGAAAAAGTTTCAACTCCGACTCTACGCCTTGTAAAAACTGGATATGTCGTTTACGTAGACAGCAAGGTGACCTTAAGTCGACTGTAGTTTTACAATATTTGCCGCAGAAATTTACTGATTTCAGGGAAATACGATCGACGTGTGGTCACATTGAACAAATGTGACTGAAGCTTTTACTTATTTTCTGATATAGAAAAACAAAAGGTTGTATGCCATTAAATTGAAAATCATTATTTCGAAAATACTGTAGAACTGTACTTACCACGTTTGTTATATAATTAAATTCGAGCTCGAAATCAGGAATTGTTTTAAACAAAAAATATATATATAATAAAATAAATATTAAACTATTGGCGTACTATCAATACGGCAATTGCCTTATCGTCGTTGAAATGAAATATCATACTACAATCGACCCCATCGTCTCCCCGCATCACTGAATGTTATGAGCCTTCTCTTGTCATGATCCAAGGTGAAATACCATTGAATTTTGAAAAGCTTTTTTTGTCATATCGAATGTCGCTAATTACGGTGATATGATGATTGAAATTGGTCGTTTAACAACTGAGAAAAATTAAACATTACGTATTATTCTTTGAAAATATGACAGTGGCATGTCCTTGTAAAGCTATTGCCAATCTTAATATTTAGGAGATTGACATTTACATACGTATCATTTAGACGACATCGATTTTTTGTTTTTTTGTTTGCGTTTTTCATCAGAATTTAAATGGCTAAACAATTTAGGGAGTTACTGTTTCATTGGATTACTACTTTTTGTTTTATTTCTTTCATTCTCCAATATGCACCTATTCATGCACCTATACATATTTGAATAGAATACTACAGATTGAAGAAATCTACCATTTATGATTAGGTAAGAAAGCAATTGCGGCAGTATGCCTATTTACCGACGTATAACTTATGGTTGATAATGATGTGCCGTAACTGCTCATCAGCGCATTAATGAACATTAGCATAGATTTTGATATTTTAAATGGTATGTCGTGTATTTACATAAATATGGTAAATGCAACTATTTGTTGGATGCGTTCAGCCGATGAAATAACTTACTTATTTTCACCACAAATACGCCAACACATTAGCCACGTTAATCTTAGTTAAATAAATCCCCATTGATGCATAGTAATGCATTTATGTGTAAATGCCATTTTGTATATTCTAATGCATTTACCTCATTTATTGATTAAATATACAAGAAAGCATTTACAGGATTTGAACAGATTTATCCTTTTTGACTAAGTGTTATCATTATATAAAATAATTCTAGTGGATATTTTTCAAGTGGAATATTGCGATGACTTCCGAATCGCACAGCCGATATCTCATAAGTTTAGTGATTTTTCTACCTAGACTATACTATATCACATTGGAGAAAATAAATACAAACATTTGAAAAAATACATTGCAACAATTCAATTTCTATGAAGAATATATTGAAACAACTTTTCCATATATATGATATGATGTGGACATGAACATGCAGCAACAATGTTAAGCGGACAGAAATAGTTATAAAATATCAGTGAAATGTGTTCTATTTCTGCGATCCGAGTATGACGTGATTCTATAGCGACATTTCCCAGGCATCAATTTTAAGGCATCAACGACGTCATTGATACATAACAATGGCGGCATCCGCAGCTATCCAGATATGGGTACTTTGAAATTGAATTATATGTTAGTTCAAACACGATATGTCCCATGAGTGAGCTGAAGTGATAGATGATGGTTATAAGTAGCCAGCGTGTAAATTAGAACATGAAACTTCGCATTCCCTTTAAAAGTCAATCTTTGCCAATAAATGTAACTTTTACTTCCTGTATGTAATTATCATATGTACCAGGAATAGCAGAATGTTTGGTTTCACTCTATAGACCTTGTCCCATTCGTTATAATAAAAGTTAAACCTGACTGATCCAAATGCCACTGGGACTGTACAAAAGTTGTCACATCGGCTGAGCTATTCACATATCAAGGTTTATCAACATGGACATTTTAGGGCAAATTAAACAAGATATTAACAAGCAAAATGTCACCACCTGTCATTTGTTACAGGTGCCGAATACTGACTGCCAAACACCAACAACAAAACACCATCCACTAAAAAGTTGGAGAGGATAACAACAATATGTCACAACTTCTGGCGGTGACATAAAAAAAGGACCAAAATAGTTCACATTAATTTACTGTATATGAAACTATACCTATGTTATGCAAATACAAGGGGTAGTCGAAATGGTTGACCCCAAGAGATTTCCTCATGTTGACGGCATTAAGCTGATACATCATGCTCTTTTCGATATCTGTCGCCCGGGTTGGAGAATTCAGAACACAAGATCTCTTAAAATATGCTGCTCCAAGATCATTCAAAGTACGACACGTAACTGAAGTATTAGGAAGTAGTTCCTTCCTGATCTCATAAGCTTTTTCAAGGGATTCTATTGCAATATTAAGATCGCCAGAATTCAAATGGGAAATCCCTCTTGCGTTGTAGTATAGCGGTAACACTCGTTGTTTTACATAACCATCATCGAAGGCTAAGATGTGATTGTTTACTTCATTTAATAGCGGTTCCAGTTCATCGATTCTGCAATTTAAATCTGCTTGGACGACAATCATTGTACATTGGTTCGTCACAAATCGTTCTCTCTCGCCACGTTCAAAAGCGACCTTTGCACGACGTTCAAACCAATCCCTTCGCTGTCTGGGTATGAGAAACATCTCGAGGAGAAATGATGATTCTGTTAAATCACTCTCAAAGTGAGGCTCAAGTAAGTCGAACTCATAAAGTGTTTTAAAATTGGCCCGATTTCTTTGAAGCTTATAGTATGCTTTCTGATAATTTTCATCGGACAACTTGGATACTTTGCCAAGTTGTTTGTGAAAATATTTCATAAAGTTGTTCTTTCCTTCAGCTCTTACCTCTGCTAAAGATTGTGGGTCATTTTCGAGCTTAAAAGACCCAGCTGGCAACTCAGTTAAAAAATGATGAATATTAGTATGGAGGTTATAACGTAATTGACCCGTTTTCTGTGTGCCGAAATCCAATGGTGTCTGCTGTTCCACAAAATTCAACTTGATAAGCGAATCAAGTTGGAAACGAGCATCTTCTTCTGAAACATTCATTATGGCTGCTGCATCACGTACAGAAAATGCTCCGGGAAATATTGCCAAATACACGAGACTACATTTTTGCAAGTCCTTCAGGTATTCGAACATATTCTGGAAAATGTAATCCAGGTTTTCATCTTCAGAAATGTTGGGGTCTTCGTGAAGTTGCTGAAATGAGCTTGATGATTTTTTCTTTTCTCTAAAGCGCCCCCTTTTTTGCTGAGCAGTGGTATGCTCGGTGTTTGGAGACAGAATTTTGATGATATCCTTCGGTTTAATTGTAAGTTGCTTCAGTCGACTTGCTACGACCTTGATGCCTGAAAATACAAGCACAACCCTATATCAACTCATTAAACCTTAGTCCATGAAAAACTATAAAGTACATTTAATTCTATTCCTTGGAAATTTCACTCTTTTTCTTTCTATTTCTAATTATAAGAATTGACAACCATAACATTGTTGCTCACAATATTATGAATTCAATCTTAAGTCAGATTTGATTTTTGAGAACTTGTAGATAATTTAAAAAAAATAAATTCGTCAATTTGAAGCAAGTTGAAAAATGATCATTTTTGACCTAGGAAGGCCATGGCGAAATCTCAAATCTGAAGTCAGATTTGAACTTAGGAGAACTTGTAGATGATTTTGATAAAATTGTCAATTTAAAGCAAGTTGAAAAACCCTTTCTGACCTTTTTTGACCTCAAGAAGGTCATTGAAGGTCAAATCTCAAATCAGATTTGAACTTCTGAAAACTTGTAGATGATTTTTTTTTAAAATTGAAGATTGTCTATACAGTATTTGTTAAGCTATTGGAAGTTGTAAGAATTTGTTACAGACGCTTACTGCCAACCACCAACTGCTGTCGAAAGAAACGGAGACCATAAAAATAATGTCACCACTTTTTGGTGGTGACATTACAAAATGGCATGTTATGTTAGCTTCGTAAGTTTTTGACAGAGTGTAGCATCTAGTTGCTTTCATGCAGAGTAGATCAGTGACCATTTATAACTCACCCAAGGGATGCCTATCACACAGCTCAATAATTCTATCTTCCTCTTCAGGCTGTATTTGTATCCGCTCAGTTCTTTCTGTTAAAAGGTTAAAGTTCAACAGTTCTTTGGACTCATCAAGGGACAACCGCTTTAAGTTCATCTGTTTCAAAAACAAAAGCAATTCATACACAATATTATACATTCAAGTTCAATAAAGTTACTTGGACTAATCAAAAGTCGATGTGTTGATGTGGAAAAGCCAGTCGGTCCTGTAGCTCAGTGGTACAGCACTTTCCCGGAAAGCGATCGAGGGATCGTGGGTTCGATCTCCACTGGGGGGACAGACTTTTTCACATCAGCCCTTAGCACAGGATTTCATTCTGTGTTTTCAGTAACTGTTTCAAAAACAAAAGCTATATCTCTCTAAGCAGATTATGGTTGAAATGATAGTAGTGAGTAGCTCCCATATTTCTTTCGTATTCAATCATATTCGTGGATTCTAAAAAATCAAAAATTTTGCACAACTTATTTTCCAATTAAAAGGTGCTCCATCCCCGTTGAAATAAACCAACTGTCTTAATACTGATGAAAATACATTTTCTTTCAAATCTGTGCGTCTCAGTTTTGTTTTATTTCTAACAAAAAATTCTTGCTAAGTTCCCGGGGCTGATAAGTCACGAATATCAAACTTTAGTGGCTAATGTGAATGTCATTAATTATATATGTTTAGCAAATAAATGGATTAAAGGGTTCCGATTAGCATCCCGTATAAAAACAATATGGCGGCTCCAGGTGAATCAACTGGATCAGTCCATTTTTAAGAAATAAGGGGAGTTCTGTAAAATCCAGTTTATTGAAATTGTCTTTGAGATAAAGTAATCCGTTTATAATGATTTTGAAAACGTTATCCAAAGAGTGATTGCGTTCAAATAATACATGTACAACAGCCAATATAAATTCTTGTATTAGAAACCGGTTTGTCTTGCTTTGTTTCATTTGTAGGATATTTCATATGCCAAGCTGTGTGCTATTACCTTATGGGGAAATTTAGATGCCAATTTTTCCTTATTATACACAAATAGAAGATCCTGAAACTTCACCCATAAATGTGGAATTGATTTGTCAAAATAAAAATCACCCTTTTATAAATGTGTGACGATCTGTAATATACTTATGCTATATAACAGTTAGAGGTGTTGACACAACGACCACGAACCTGTGAACCCTTGAGTATTATTCCGGGATCGGGCCTTTTATACTAAACGGTGAGCAACACCAGAAACGAGCGTTCGATTTGCTAAACGATATGCGTCACCCTTTAAGGGAGGCAATTAGGTGAGTATGTCTCTGGTACTAAATACAAGTGTAAGCTAAAAAGGTACACATTACGTACAATGGAAAATCCTGTCCACTAAAAAGCCAGATGCAGTTATCTTTTGCTGAGGAAAGCAAAGACATAAGAAGGACTACATGCATATCAAATAAGTTAAGTTAGGTGTGTTTATGGCATTTTGTTCCAATGAGGTTGGGATTGATGTTTCATTTCATTCCGAATATACAGTCCATCTATTAACGAAAGTGTCACTTTGCCGTCCGCCGTACACTCCTTTGCCGTGCGAGTGCGATACCCTTGTTTTACTTGAGCGGCGCGGTCGCTTCGCGTGTGTGACTACCTCGCGTTTACCTTGCTTTGCGAAAGGACTTAACCCGCGAACCGTTCGTGCTTACATAGCTTAACGCCAGTGTTGCCTTCGCTCAACGATTGTATACGCATATTAATTAAACTAAACCTACATTATTTTTCATTTACATATGTAGTAGAGACTATATTAACTCAACTTTCAGACAAGATTTTAGTGTTGCGTTTTTCTCAGTTTCAATGAATATTTGATTCGTCTAATCTGTTTTGAAAAAGAATACAATTCAAGTGATTACGGATCATTCCATTTCACATTGGTCCAGTGGCACACATGTACAAACATTTGAAGCAGTTGTATACGCTTTTCGGTGATTTAATTTTTTTTTTAATTACGTTTATTAATAAGTCGACAGGAATGTTACGCCTATTCTTCTTACAGTAGTTTCGTGCGCGTGTTTACAGTCCCGGAGTAGTTTTGATGAATTAACCTTTTTTGGGGGGACGTGCTCTAGTTGCACTCCGGCCTTCATTACTACATCATACACGGCCGGTCGGCTCTGACGAAACCCAGAGCAATATAGCAACCATGTTACAGTCTGAATCCACTTTTCTGGCTCTAAACAAGCCATTTGAGAAACTGCATTAATCGGTCTATAATTCTGCAATTTGTCGTCGGAATTCTTAATAAATAACACCATGGTTTAGCTCGGTACGATAGCTTCCCGATGGTAAAAAAAATAAATTGAGGGAGGGACAGGAAACCCAGGGGTTCATATTTATTATATGTTCATGTACAAGTTCTCTAAAATACGTGTACATGTAGCTAGCCTCTCTGTTTCTACGTACACAACATCCTGTAAATGCACAAACTGTACAAAGAATATCCATATTTAATTCATCTTTTTAAAGTACTAAAAATTCCGGATTTCAAATTCGAATTAAATCCTATATAACATCCATAGTAAGAACAATGTATAGTATTTTCCATAAATAAGGGGTTTAAATTTAGTGACATGACATATGTTGTCATAGATATAGTTTATTTCTACTCCCGGGCACAAGGGCCGATTACAGCTTGAAATTGTGAAATTGCAACAGACATAATTACGTACATTATGTATTTATGTAATTATGTACAACAGTACATAATTTCGGCAATAGCAAATACACCAAACGTGTGAATTTAATAACTACATTATGATATTCTGTCTCGATATTCTGTATTGGCACTCGACTTCGTCTCGTTCCAATACGGAATTTCTCCAGCAGAATATATCCTGTATTGCACTTCAAATCATTCAATAACTTTTAATATTATTTACATCCAAAACGTATCGTTCTTACTCTATTGATTCACAACAAGCAAATCTAGGGAGTATCACAAATAAAACAAGCATTTCCTCGCGTGCATTTAACTTCTACAGTGAGTAATTACATGTACTCCCGTGGGTTCTCAAAGTTTCACTTATTTTAGGCAACCTCCCCCCCCCCCTGGCCAAAAACTCTTTCAAAACCATGCAGTTTTTCATAATTCTGACCATTTTTCGTGTGATTTTGGGTCAAATTTGCAAAATGAAGTCTTCGAATGAACATTCATTTGCCATGATAACCACCGAGATGCAATGGTCAACTTTTGCTTTTACGTTTAATTATAATCAACGCCTTCCCTAAATTTCTTGTTAGATCATGAATGCCTGACTTCACCAAGTATTTAAATTATATTTTGCGTTTTATCATCTTTCCCAAAAGCTACAATTCATGCATATGGTACAACTACTACTAACTGACTTTGGTTTATCATTCTTTTGTTGCAAATATGGGAATGTTTCAACGACTTCAATCTAGGGATTTATATAGACGGGACTTCCCCTTTTGATAATGTAATTATATATTTTTTTGTTTTGTAGGTTCCCGTGGGTAGGATACACACAAGAACAATATACGGCCCATCCTAAAGGGGTACAGACACAACAATGGCGTTCTTCAAGTTATAGCCGTGGAATTATATAGTTTATGCATCTTGCCTCAAGCGACGTGTTAAGTCTGACGTGATAACCATAAAAAGGTTTATCCCATATTTGGTTTGAGAAACACAGTTGCTCAATACAAGTGCAAACTATGAAATAACCATAATATAACAATAGATAATGTTTGGCATGCATTGTGTTTCTGTTTCATTGTTAAATTAGTTGAAAGTATACACAAAGAAGTTAATCACCAGGAGGGATTTCATATGGGGAATATCACATGATATGAATATATCACGAGGGAACGCAGTGACAGAGGGAAATATTGATATCATCCGAGGGATATTCTCAATATCATCCCGACAGGTGAATAACGACCTTATACCATGATCAAGAGCAAAATATATCTAAAATCCTCTTTTGAATGAGAGAAAATGTTTGAAAAAATTAAAAATTTTGTTTTTGAAAAATGAAATTTTTTAATAATACCCGGGTTGATATCCATATCATCCCTCTAATCCCAATATCATCCATATCCTAAATATATGATTTATCACTTGCTATTGAATACTGAGATATTGCTCTGACCATGGTATAAAAAGAATAACTTATCATAAGTAGATTTCTTTTCAGGGTGTTCAGCGGCGATGTAGGACTGTAAATAAGCGTCACACACCCCGGACGCACATTTCCTCGGATATTAGATCAAATTAGCAGTTATACCTGTTTGCATGTTTTACTTTTGATTTGATTTGATTGTTTAAATTACATAAAATCTAATTTAAGTTCTAATTTAAATTAGATAAAATGCGTTCAAATGTCACCAGTGTCTGGAGGGTTGAGACTTGATTTAGGAATTAAATTAGAATAAGATTTTTTACTATCTGATTTGTTTACATCATTGTATAACGTTGATCTCATTGATTTATTTTCTAAACCATTTTCCGTTTTGTTGCATGAGTTACTATCTTGATTTCTGTTAAAATAGATAATGCGTTGCAACCATTTAAATCCTTTTAAATATCCTTTTTATATCCTTTTTTGCTTGTAACCATATTAATTAATGAGCATATGTTTAGAGGGGCATGCCGTTTTATTTTGCCATCTACATTTTATATTATCAGCCGTATCTTGATATGTTGAGAATTCTTCAGAGACAACTCCCAGACACTATCATGGACCGACTACTTTCTTTAAAGTATAAGCTGCGGCCTTCTTGCCAAGGGGATTTTTTATTTGACAACTATGACAAGGATCGGAATGATATAAGCAAAAAATATTCAAAAATTCTTGTTAAGTCTCGGAGTTTGCTTGCTAAATCTGATTTTCCCCTTAATTAATGAGCATAGGTTTTTATGTTTGTTTCTTTGTTTTTATTTCTTATTTGACAAGTCACATGCATGATGGGTTTATTTTACGCGTTTATTTTGCCATCTACATTTAATATTGTTATCTGTCTTGATAAGTTGGGAATTCTTCAAAGATATCTCCGAGAAACTATCATGGACTGGCTACATTATTCATAATCTGCTTTTGCCGAGGGGGGGGGCTCAG